TTATTAGATTTGGTTTTAAACTTCATGTATGGTTTTATTGTCTGAAATCTAAATATGAAGAATCCTGGGTCACGACTAGAAACGTGGAAAGCGTGCCATTACATGCATCTTAGAAATAGCACAATGTCACTTGCAGTACTTCTTTTCTCGCTTAGTAGAAAGTTTGGTCAAAAGGTTTTGGAAAGGTACAAGTGTGCCAGCAAATACTGAAAGAAGTAATAATAAATGTTACAACTTTGTCCTTGTTTTTGTTGCTCAATTATTTCAAAAGCTACTATCGACATTGTAGAGAGAGCTGTTTTCATTGAGTCAGTAGTCAAGTTTGTGTTTGTACGTCATCAAATTACACAATTATACCCACACCTTCCTGTTAGCTGCTTTACAACTCACCTGACATCTGGACTTGGACTCAGGGACTTTCTGTATGGACTCCGTGATCTCCTGCGGTTTCCATAGGGACTCGAACCAAACTCTCCTTGTTCATACGGACTGTGTCGGCCAAAACTTGGGGACCTGCGCCAGTTCGCTGGGCTCGCGGGGGATCGCTTCCTTTTGTTGCTGGAGTACGAACTGGGTGACTTGGGCACACCATACGCCCCATACGAGTCTCCATCCCGGTTGTAATATGTGGAAGTGGGAGAGAGTCTTTTGCTCCCATAAGTCGGACTTCTTCTAGATATTAGCTGGTTATAACCACCAGGAAACTGGTAGCTATATGAATACGATGTCCCATAGGGACTTTCGGCTTTGAAACCAGGACTTCTCCTGTATGCCCTGAGGTCTTCGCGGTCATCTCTGTATGCAGACGGGGGCTCTTTATCAGATCTTGTTTTACTTCGGTGTCTTTTCGAATCCCTTTTGTCTGCGGATTGCGAGGGCTGAGACGTAGACGACCTTTTACCATTCCTGTCGCTGCTCCTTGTAGTGTCTCTGTGATTCTTAGAGCCACTTAGGCTGCCTCCACTTCGAGCTTTTGAGGAGTCTCTCTCCCGGCTCTGGCGCTCCTTTTTCCTGGCGAGCTCCTTCTCCTGCTTGCTCCTCTCAGATGGTCCTCTTGTTTGTTGCTCCTTGCCAATGCATACTGCCTCCCGGTCTCTCGGGTGACTTCTGTCTGGGGATGCTGGTCCATTATACTCATAATCAACATCGCTGAGTCGGTCTACTGAGAGTCTGTCTGCGTGGGGGTCAAGTTTAGGAGAGGGGCTCCCAGAAAACCTCTCAGACTGGGAGCTCACGTCGTCATACTCTACCAATGTCCGAAGTTCAGCCTCCTTTTCAAAAGTGCTTTTTCGGTCGTTGTCAGGGTCCCCTGTTGTACCGGCTGGCCACAAGTCTTTATCCCTGGCCTGCCGGCGTTTCTTCCTACTAGAAACCGACGACCGCCTCTTCTCGCGGTGCCTGTCTCGCTGAGCAGCACCGCTCCCTGGTTTACTACGCCTGTCTTGCCTGTTAGCATTTCTCTGTGCAGAGGGGCTCCGACCCCGACCCTCGCGAAGCACCTCCGAGTTAGGCATTTATCTACAACACGAAACGCTTCAGCCACGTTGAGAATAACCTTTATACCATATACTCTCACCTAAAGCTATGTCCCTTGCTGTGCCGTGGAACAAAACATTGGGGCTAGCCGTGTAACAGGCTAGTTAGCGATAGCTTAGCTCAATCACAAGCTTAACGCTAGCATTACAAAAAACTAGTGAG